CACCTTTCTTGTAAATTGTTATGATGACCGATTCACACCATTCAGTTGGAACCTGTTCGTTTTCCCACACTGAACCCAGGAGTTTTGTTAACTCCAAAACCAAGGCAGAGCCTCCATCCTTAAAAACGGATGGGGACGGCCCGGCGGAGCCGAATGGTTCCTTTTCTAGGACACAGAACAAACGGAACGGATGAGATTTAGGCGCTTATAAAACACGATGAAATAGTCCTTGTTAGAGAAAATCAAAATATTTTCAATACGGCGTCCGTAAAACGGAGTGTCAGGTATTATTGATCACTTTCATTGAGAAGGCTATCTTTCATCCATTCTTCAGCGAGCTTTTTACACTATCTCACCATCCACACTGGTTTGGTATGGGATTGCTAACTGGCTTCTATTTGTTAGCGATTATCCCCAGCTATGTGATGACTCAGATCCAAGAATATCTCGGACTAAAGCTGCTCACGTACGGCCATATGGAGCCAAATCATCACAACTAGTTGCGCGTGCATTGGCACATATTGCAGTTCCCCAAGTCGTACTAGATGCTGCTGAATCACGTCTTGGTTAAACTCCCAACTGGCAAAGGATGAGTGCATATTGTGTCTCGAAAGTTTACACTCTGGTCAGCGAAGAGCGTGACTGGATCACTTAAGGCGATGAAGATGGAGAAAAGATGACAATCTCTGTCTCAAAGAAAGTTTTTCGAGATGGGAGGATGATGACCTGATAGATTCCATTACTTGTTTAATGCGTATTCCATCATTCTGGAGCAAATCATTGATTGTTCCGATTTTTAAGAAGGGATCTCGCAACGACTGCGCAAACCACCGTGGAGTAAGTTTGATCCCAACGGCCACCGAGTTACTAGTCTCCATCATACTTCGACGTCTGGCACCACTTACTGAGACAAATATTCGCGAACAACAAGCAGGATTTCGACCAGGTCGCGGGTGGATCGATCAGATCTTCACTCCGCATCAATTCTTCAAGCTACGCCATATACACCGTCGAACAACGGCTGTCGTGTTTCTTGACCTAAGAAAAGCCTTCGACTCAACTGATCGCTAATCGCCTATGGGTTCGCTCCTTCAAAAAGGAATGCTCAACTTGCATACTTTTAGTAGCGTAAGTGTCTGCGGCGAGCGGAGGTCATTCGTAAATGGCAACGGTGTTCGTCAAGGGTGCCCTCTTTCGTCATTCCTGTTCTATTCCGTTATAGACGAAATACTGGAGAACGCATTAATTGGTCTCCAAAATGTTCATAATCAATGGGCAGCTAGAGAAAAGATGTGAGATTCAGAATACACTGAAGACATCGTTGACCGATTAGCAAGCTCTATCACTCCATTCGGTATGCGTTTTGCACCGTCAAAGTGCAAAGTGATGCCACAAGACTGGGTGTTGCCGAGTCTCGTTTGCAGAGTTCGTGATCCAATCAATTCTCCGTCAACAAATCGTTCTGAACTTAGAAAAACCGGTTTCTCTGACGAATGCTTCTATAATTCCGCTGGCTGGTTGTCGGGATAACTATCAGTTAGTTCAGAGGGGATAGCGTTTGGTACATTGATCGTTATCCTTGTTTGATCTGACAGTGCAACATAGATGTGCGTTATTCGGCCGTCTCGAACGCAACTGTCAAGACCGAACTCCCCAATGATACGGCAAGGAGTGCAGTGATGATACATTGATGGCTCGTGTTGAGTGATACACTTACAGTCCAGCTAGCGATGTGAAAGACATCTCTAGTGTTGAGCTTGCTCGATGAACACCCCAACAAATGAGGGAGCGCAGAGCGAGTCGTTTCCCCGGGACAGCATACAACGGGTGAGTAAACGGCTATTCAATATCTTTTATTGAACATGCAATGGTACAATTTTCAGGAAGATGGAAGCGCCCATTCAAAGGGCTGCCATTCAACACACAATGGGTAAAGCCAGGCGGTGGTGGTGGGATTCGAACACATCCCAAGGGTGATAATTTGGTGACGTTACCACCGGGCCACCACCGCCCAACGCCGTGCGATGAAATGCCCCCAATGTCTTTTGTTCGCAATCAAACACCCCTAACTATCGCAAAACCGTAAGATGGCAGGAATGCACATGTAGTTTTGAGGAGCCGACAACCAACCATATGATTTATACACCCTTCAGAACAGGAAGAGAAACCCCATAGCAATAACCTTACTGAATGTTGAGCCGCATTCACACACGTTACGATAGCATCGACAGACCTCTATGGATTTATCGGGAACTCACGAGCCAGACGAAAGACCTAATCATTCCTCGAGCATAGCTCCTGAATGACTGCTACGACTTGTGAGGCAGAGGATAAGGTTTGAAAGCGAAAAGAAACCCAGTCGAGCATTTTAGCAGCTTCACAAAACAGGATTATTATTCGCAGTAGACTCCAGTTTTCAAACTTTGACCTTTTATTGGTCTGTGATTTTGAAATGTGATCACTGAGTGCTCCATATGTCAGGAGACTACAACAAATTGGTAGAGTAGATGGGCATGAAGTAGGCCTCAAGAACTCACTAAGGCAACATTGAGGCGACGTCCAGCGGTTGCCGTAGTCTTTACATTGAAAGATATTTAGACGCCGTCAGTCATGATTTACATAGTTCCACAATTAAAACTGTGAAAGATGATTTATTCTGCTGGTTTTGCCCGGGGTCAGCTAACGTTACTGCTCCGGCAAAAAAGTGACTCACTACTATCAATGCGGACGTTATCGGTCAGACTACGGTGTACACTGCCGGACTAGATTCCTGTACTGATCGTACAAGTACGCACGCACCATAACAGAGCTTCCAGGTAGCCAATCAAGAAACGGATTTCCCGAATAACTCTGTGGCATGAGAGGAATGAGGATTTGGTTTGATTATATGACGAATTTATCATGTAAACGAGGCGTGAGCAACAAAGTTAGGAAGCACTGAACTGTATTTTCAACTTGGTTTGGTTTCGTCGACAGTGCGAATCCATCGACTGAAATAGGGATCAAAAGGAGTGGAAACAGCTATCCAACGTTTCCCAGCTATTCAGTTCACGCTTTATTGGCTCTTTACCTGACGATATCATCATGCAATCGGGTGGTCTCTAGCAGAATCAATCGGATTGCCTGATGGCAAGGCAAATAAACGAGCCCCATTATTATCCACTGGACACTGAAGAATGAACCGATGATGGTTTCACGCCTGTGATATGTATTTGCGTGATTTTCCGAAAAGAATCAACTGCATGCCCAACTCGTTTTGGTGCTACCTGATTTGGCGCTATTCAGAGGGTTTTCAGTCCAAATCTGAGTTCGCACTACTCAATTCCGATTAATACTGCATTCTGAGTTGCTCTGTTTCCTTCCCGAGTAGCTGCAATCTACAACAACGACGTCGTCAGTTCATCATGGAGAAGCAACCAGTGTTATAATTCCACAGGGCAGTGCTGGTCGAGGAGTCCTTTATTGAGGATTACAGATGGGAGGTCAGCAATTTTGTATACATAACACAAAAACCTAATCAGAAATGTGCCATCGCAACTCTTTCCGACACACAGGGTAATGTATAGAGCAGTCGGCAGTTATTCTTTCAGACACATCAGTTAGTGGTCTTGTTATATTTTTGATCATGGAAAGTTACCTACTAATCACGAGTGAGTAGTATCTCACAACACCGGTATAGACGTAAAAGCAAGATGATCACGCGTGAACAAGAACTGCAAATTTCCCAAAGAAACTCACCCCTCGCAACATGTCCGGATGAGCGTTGTTCACAAGATAGGATATAATCTAAGTGGGAGTATAAGGGAGTACAAAACGATTCAAAATATACTTAGTCGTGGGACCAACAATTTGGTGATGCGCATGGTTTTTTAAGAGAAATTTTTTTGAGAAGCGCCGGGTTATGTCAAAACTGTCACACTTATCAATGTTGAGTAAAAACAGTCAACTGATTTACTTAACCGAATAAATTCACCTCTGGACAAATTATGAGCCTCAGTCGCATAAAACCGAGTTATAATTTTTGTGACATTCTTTGCAACCTTTTTACGAAGGGAAGAAAGTGAATGGACGTATTCGACCAATCATTAAATGAATCCTTCCTTATAAGAAACGTTTTTTGACATGATTACAATGCAAATAATTTGAAAAATGCACCCGAATCTATACTACAGATCTGTGTACATAGTGATTTTCTTTGTCTCATACCATTCGAAATGCTCACCTGAGCATACAAGTTGGTAGCGAACCTCGGACTCAACAGATCGCGCAAACGTAAAAATCAATGCAAAGTTTGACATGAGAACATGTTTTTCACATTATTACGAACAAAAATGAAATGTGGGTGTATGAGTGCAACAACTGGTAGGCAAAGTGGTGCTTAGAACACGTTTGGAATCCTATCCACTTTACAATTTTGTGAAGGAGCCCACGAGGTTTGGAGCCAACCAGTCACCATCGGTTTTGGACCTGATGTTAGCTAACGAGGAACTGATGATGGAAACGATTTCCACTGCAACTCCATTAGGGCGTAGTGATTATGTTGTGCTGCCGTTTGATTACATTTGCTATGCTTCCGTACCGCACAATTCTACGGTTAGCTCCTGTATGTTTGTTGACTACACCAAACTTCAAATTTTGGCGAGAGATTTCTAATGGAAATTTCCCAACGAACAGTGTGATCCACTGGTATCCTGGGAAGAATTTACAAACCACCTGACGGAAATGGTGAAAGGCGCGACGAAGACCAAACGCATCACCTACTCAACTGGTCAAAGATCAGCAATTCGAAGTAGGACAAAAAAAGTGGATTTCGCAGAGGAATACCTAATGGAGAGCTTATAAACGATCTCCTTGCTACAACACATGGTATATCTACTGTCAACTCCGAAACCACTGCACAGGTTATTACAAGAAATGCTCATGCGTAAGTTCGTATCAAATCCCAAGCTGTTGTACAAACACATAAATGCCACCAGAAAAGTTAAGTCTGGTGTTCCAGCGTTAAGGGTGGCAGAACGTGTTTCAGTCATAACAAAGGAGGCAGCTGAAATGCTGAAACGTCAGTACGCTCAAATGTTCAGCGCACCTGCGAACACCGGACTAAGACTGTCTCAGTTACTTGAGGATACATCACATCCAGTGCTCACCACAATTGATGTTCCCCCAGAAATCGTTGCATCGAAACTGCAGTGTTTGAAAAGGAACTCATCTCCAGGGGTAGATAATATCCATCCACAAACCCTTATCAACCTGGCGAGTAAATTAGCTCAACCACTAAGCAAACTAATCCAACAAATGTTCAACAAAACTGCGCTCCCAAAAACATGGAAACAAGGGATAATTTCTCCGATATACAAGGGCGGTTGTCGTAGCGACCCAGCTAACTACCACCCCGTTACTCTCCTCCCCGTATTATCCAAAGTCATGGAATCCATTGTGGCAGACAATGTGATGAATCACTTGGAAAAATACAACGTGCTATCCCTGCTCAACATGGGCTTCGTCGCAGGCGATTGTGTACCACTGACCTGCTACTGGCCCGAGAAGAGTGGACAAAAGCAGCTTATTACGGTCATGCATCGGACGTCGTGTACCTCGACTTCTCCAAAGCATTCGATCGAGTGAACCACAAAATACTGCTGAGGAAACTACACAAATACAGAATTCGGGGACTTGTACTAGTCTGGATAGAGGAATTTTTCAACAACGCACCATGGCAGTTCGGGTTTCTGGTTCACTTTCTGATCCCATCAGCGTATAACGAGGAGATCCACAGGGATCCGTGCTGGGCCCTCAACTTTTCCTTGTTTTCATAAACGACCTAACGGGTCGGGTCACATACATTAATGTTTGCAAACATATGCAAACATATGGAAAACGGCGACAAAACCAGAGGGCCCGATAGAACTCCAAAGAACACCTAATGCTGCCTATCAATGGTCGATCGAAAATGACATGGAATTTAATGCATCAAAATGTTCGATCGTATCCATTCGACACCAAACTCGGTTTCCGTATTTCCTAGGAGGTCAACAACTTCCGTACGTGTCGAATGAGAAGGACCTCGGCGTCACTGTTCAAGACGACCTAAGCTGTTCTTTAAACTGCTCCCGG